TTTTGTATTGACAAAACTTCTATTGTCTGAATAAAAACTGAGGAATGAGACTATGTTGTTCCCCACTGACATAAACATCACTGTATACAATCGGGCCAGGAGAGACATGTGCCATCGCTGCTGTGCAGAAGCTGCATTTCAGGTTTAGCACTGCTGGCTTCAAACTTCAGTGCTGAGGTTGGCCGACCTTCCCTTGTTCGTGAAAGGCTTTGGTTCAGTCGCATGCTGCTGACCAGAAGTTCTGTGCTAACATTGATTAATGCCAAATTTAAACACTATTTCCAGTAGATTATAAAACTGAGCATGCTATAGATAGCTTATAGGTAGTTAAATATGTAGTGATGGCTAAATAACTGACCAAAACCTGTTTAGTCTGTGAAGACTAAATATGCAATTTAGTGGTATCTTTGTACAATACTATGAATGTAATGCTTTTGTTAACATAAACACATACTACATATTTAATCTGTTAAAGAAATCTTTCAGTCTAAACACAGTCTTCTGCAGCCAGAAGTGAAGCTTACAGCAGTATTCTGTCAAAAAAAGTGGAAAATCCCAAGTCTTCCTTAAGAACAGGGCAAGAGTAAATGGGGTGTAGAATTTATTAGAAAAGAAGGAACTTTATCAAAGGTGGGGGTTGAGGGGGAGCTAAATTTTGTGGAAGGTGATGAACTGTTTGAATCATACTGGGGATAAGATTGTAGTTAACTATGAAAGCAATTTAAATAGAGAGCTGGTGGCTTTTTCATCATTGGAGTCCTTCTTTGATGGTGAAAGTTACGGGTTTGATGCAGAGTGTATGGTATGTGGGCAGTGTTGCAGAATTGGTCAGACTAGATGTCTTATTGTGTCCCTGCTTTACAATCTGTAAATCTGGCTCATCCCCACTCACTTGCTTCGAGCTAAATATTGTGGTCTGCTCAGGACTTAAATTACTTTTTTTGTTTCCCATAGCCTATACATGAGAACAAATAGAAAACATGTAAAGCATTAAAAAGCAGATAAAAAAACAGGGAGTATGTGTCATGGGAAAAATTAATCTTGAATTACCCAATGTTTTGTTTTGTTTTGTTCTAGGTAGCTGTGAGGCTTCCTCTGACCTTACAGGTCTTCTAAGAGAAACTATACCTGGTATGTGGGGCCAAGCGGACAGTTCTCCAGTTCAGGAAGCCCTTTTGCCAGTACAGAGCTTGCCTGTGTTGCACTGTTACGAGGGGGGGAAGGAGAGGATTTAATCATTGGTACTCAGAGCGGGGAGACTGCCAGCTTGCTTCCAAAGAGTAAGGACTCCTCTGCTATTCCAGCAGCCTGTTGCTGTGCCCTAGCATCACATCATGGCTATCAGCAGAAACAGGCAGGATTTGGGCTCCATGCTTTTCTGTCACTTGCTCTCAGTCTTCCGTGGGGAGTCCTGCAGACACTGTGCATGCAGGGCAGTATCCCAGGCAGTTGCTGGGCCATTGAAGCCAGGTCAGGATGCAGAAGCAGTTGAGGAGAAATTTTGAAAGCCAGACTTCCCTTTTTGCTGCCTGGTTTGTCTGGTGCAGTGGAAGCATGTGGTATGGGGTGGTCTGCATTCTCTTGCCCCAAGCATGCAGCTGCTTTCCTTGCAGGTTTTCCAGAGCTTCATGCAAAGTTCCCTGCTGGAAGTACGGGCAGATCAGGGCTGTGGGAGTCATCTGGGCTGGCACTGAGAGTGCAGTTGTGAAGTAGCACTGGTGGGGGCAGGTAGGGATATTTGTGAGTATGTCTGTGTGTTTCTGTTAAGATGAGGTCAGTGACTTCTCTTGTTTGACCACTGATTTTGATCTGATGTTGGGAGATAAAAGGCAACTTTTGCTGTTGGCAATCCATAGGCTAACATGCAACCATATACAGAAGGGTAAGTATCATCAAGTATATAAGAGGTAGGAGTCTTCTTTATATATATATATATATATACACATACACACACGTTTTTCAATATATATGTACTTACTCAACCAAAATAGCTCCCTCCGGATTCCTGCAGGGCATTCTGACTCTGTAGGCACAGAACGTGAAGCTAAGCCAGGTAATTAGAGAAGACTGTGAAAATTAATAGGGATATAAACCTTATTATAGACATAGACTGTAGGATTTAAACTTATCTGGGATAAATGGGGTCAAAAGGGAAAGGTCATGGTTGGCTCTATCTGATGGAAGTACAAAAAATGGCATTAAGAGAAAAACGATTAATAAGGGTGAGATGGATCATCAGAATGAAGGATGCTGGGATGTAGAGTGGCAATAGTCCTGTTATTCCACCTGAGTTTCATGTGTGCTGTGGAGAGAATAAGTGATGGCTTGGAATTCTTAGTGCTAAATGGGACCTAGAGCAGATCCTGCTCCACCTTCAGGGTTGTTTTGCCAGAAATGAGGATACATGTGAACAGTTATTTAGCAGAAGGTTGTTTGAATGTGCTTTTATTTCCTAATCTTTTTTGGACTGCAAGACTGTAATACTTCGGGAAGGCAGGTGTGATAGCTGTATATACTATCCTGTCTGGAGGAGGATTTGAAGAGGTTAGAGATTCCTTATGTTTCAGTGGGATCTTTAAGTGACTACAGAATCACAGCTTCATAGTCTTCAGGTGTTCTAAACATTTTTTTTTCAGCACCATTCACATAAAAAGTCTTTCTCATAAAGGAAGTGACCAATAAATACCTCCAAAAGAACAGACAACAGTAGTTTAAGTAAAGGACTGAATTTTGGGGTGCTTGTTTCCCCTAGAAAGTCTAGTAATTAAGGCTAGTACTACTTTGTCTAGGCATTAAGACAAAGTACTTAAATTTTTTTTACAGAATAAATCACTCAAATTTTGAAACTAGAGAGAAATAGATGCCTCTGTAAGGCTCTTTGTAAGGCTATCTGACTAGTGCCTATTCAACATTAAAAAAAAAAAAAGACAAGGAGAGACAGTCAATTAAACATGTAGATAGACAAACCCTAACAAACAAGTTAGCAGAGACAGTAACAAGGACCAGAAATCTTAAATTAGGGGAGCTATTACAGGAAACACTGAAATAAAACCTTGAAGAGGTTTAGCCAGATTCTTTGATGATGTGTGATAATCATGTTTTAATTTTCTTATTAGAATGGGGCTTACAGGAAAGACTAAGTTTATGAGATCTTTTTGGGGAAGGATTGTGGGAGTGTGCAAAAAGTATCACAGGATTTTTAGGGGCAACAAAACCATTCTGCACTTAACAATCTACATATAAACATTATTTTAAATGTCTTCTTGTTCTATTACTGCAAAGTGGCCACATGTGAAGTTATGCAAATAAATGTTAATAATTAGAACTATAATTTGGTAATAAAACCTTTTGTTTTGGAATTTATGTCTGGCATTCACCTATGTTGTTACTCCTGTTAACTGCTGAACTGTGACATGTAACCCTTATAATCAACAAAACCAGCTTTCACCGAGTCTCCCTTTCATACAGATTCTTTAAAAAGAAGTATGTAAATGTACTTTTTCATGGACCTGCAGAATCATCGAGGTTGGAAGGGACCTCTGGAAGTCTCTAGTCCAGCCTTGCTTGAGCCGGTTGTCCAGGACAGTTTGGTTTGGAATAGCTCCAAGGATGGAGACGCCACAACTTCTCTGGGCAACTTGTAACAGAGTCTGACCACCCTCGGAGTAAAAATGCTTCTTACCTTTAAGTGGACTGTCACGAGTTTCTGTCCATTGCCTACTGCTTCTCGCCCTGTCCTCTCTCATCCTCTCCTCCCACGATAGATGCTCCAGGCCCATCATCGGTCGCTGAAGTGCTTCACTGGGCCTGTTCCATTATGTCTGTGCCTCCCGCGTGCCGGGGAAGCCGGAACTGGAGCCGCAATCCTAGATGTGGTTTCACCAGCCCTGGGAGGAGGGGAAGGATCACCTCCCTTACCTGTTGGTGGTGCTTTTCCTAATAGCGGCTATTGGTCTACCAGATTACTTCATTTGTGCTCAAGCGGTTACCTCTGGCAGCGAAATTGATGGGACTAACTAAAATGGTCACACTTGGCATCTTTGGTACTCTTGGACGAGAACTAGGGAAAGCAACAGTGAAAGACGAGCTTAACGCGGGGAAGAGAAGGAGCGCTGGGGGCCCGGCCGTCTCCGTGGCCGTGCTGCTGAGCCGTACTGGCGCTGTGGGGCTCCCGGCCTCACTGCGGCCGTTCTGCCAGGGGCTGCAGTGGGGCGGTCAGCGGAGCCGCCGGGACGGGCGGGCACAACCGCCCCCGCCAGGCCCGGGCTGGCTACCGAGGGGGGCTGATGCTGCCGGGACGCCTGTCCCTGGCACAAGCCTGGCC